GACAGTATCATAAAAGGGGTGTTGCTTGATGGTAATTTGGATGTATTGGTTGGAGTAAAACATTGGAAAATGTTCACAGATATTTTGCAGAAAGGTTTCTATAGTTTGGGGTGCAGAAAAGCTGGGTAGTCTGTGATAGTGAAGGAACTTATTATAGCATGCATTGGGTTCAGTGTAGTTGTCTATATTAAATGCTCCAGTGAAAAATCTTTGATTGTATGGGTTGGGGGATAGAGTTAGTTCATTGTTAGATTCTTCCTCAAGAAAGGTATTATTGTCTTCGAGATGGTCATTGTCGAGAGAGAGTTCAAGGGTTTGTGTGTTGTTAGTAGGAGGATTGAGGTTTTATATCTCAGAAGGAGGTGGTGAAATGGGGTCCGAGATAGTTAAAGAAGTATCTTCTGCAGCGGTCACCGTATGCCTGGCTAGCACGGCTCCGCAAGATTTAGAAGCCCTCAGATTAAACGTTAGAAGGCCGTCATGATCTAAATCTTCTGGGTAGTTTTGCCATTACTAGTAGCCCTTCACTCATATATTTAATTCTGAATGCAATTTGTTTACTTGATTTTAAAAACCTGCATTTGGCATCTGTCTTACTTTTATTCTGTCTTTAAAAACTTGCCTAATTGTGTTTTAGTACCTAAATGTCTTCGATACCTCTTGCTAAGTTAGTATTGTGCCACTTTGCACTCACTTTTATAGCTAGAAGTATCTTCATGAACTTGCATATTGGGGTTTTAACTAGCTTTTTTCTTCAAAAAACTATATATGAAAAGTGTATATTATTTATAAGATTAAGCTCTATATATTAGATAGTAAAGCACCTTCTTTTGCTAGTTTATCTGCTCTTTTATTTTTTTAACTCTGCTATATGCTTTGACTTTAACTAGTTTTAGCTCTATATTTTTCAATTTATACTGGTCTATAATTCTAACAATTAAGCTAAAACTTTTATATTTATCTCACTTGTGCATATTTGAAAGAGAGTTTGATTTGCCTAGACTCATTATTGCTACTATACTATCAGTTTTCACTATTACTTTATTTTTTTATTTTATTTTTTTTTTTGTATTAAGGTAACCTCTTTGGCCTGAAAACTCCTTATTAGTAATCATTTGTTATTATAGTTATAATAAAGATACAACTAGCCACATATACCATAGGTTGAATCAATGAATAACGAGTATATATTGGGAGACAAATCTCCCGATATGTACCCATTATTCTACATAGATCCGCCAAATAACTGTAGCATATCGGTAGCATATTGGTAGCATATAGGTTAGATATTGGGAGGTAGATCAATAATGGTAACTTAACAGTAACATACTAGGACATCCCGGTATCTTACTCTTAGCACTATTTGGATTAAGAGTAAGATATCTTGATGTCTCGGTATATTACTATTATGTTACTATTATTGATCTATCCCCAATATCTATCCTATATGCTACCAATATGCTACTGATATTTGGCAGATCTTTGGTAGAATAATGGGTACATATCAGGAGATTTGTCTTTCTATATGTACCTGTTATCTATTGATTCAACCCGTATACACCTTTTGAGTACCTATTTAAGTAATTCGCCTGCAATTTTTACACTAGATATTGTACCTATAACTCAACTAGGAAGTTATCTATTTAAACCTTTTGATCCTAACTATTTTCAAACATATCATACTAACCAGAGAACTACCAATGGCCCATTCTACTAGATTGTGTGCATCCTGCTTTAGAACTTCTTGCGGCTTATCCTGGGTTTGCACTAACTAATTACCAGCTTGTATTTCTCTGTTGAGCAGATGTACAGGCTATCTTTGAAATAAACCTACCAGAGCCTTCCCTATCCCATTTGGACCAACCTGGTTTTGCACAATTGCTAAGACACCCACTTGCAGTTAGGATTATTCCCATTTAACTGCTTTTGCCCTTATAAGGTTCACTTCTAATCCTAGTACCCATATTTGAACTTTCCTTTTTTTGCTATTTTCTTATTAGTTTATCTCTTACTTCCAACCAGTAACCTAGAAGATTCAACCTTGGCTTGGCATTAGGTGCCGGTGCTCTCTTCTCATCTTGGTATATAATTTCCCAGCATATATCCTTTTTCTTTAATTTGGTAGACTAGTCCTTTAGATATGCCTGGCATTTTTTCATTAGTTACCTGACTTTTATTACCTCTAGTCTTGGTGAGTAGGGCCACACCACCGGTTTCCTATACTGGTTGGCCAGGGTTGGTGTACTTCATAATGCCTCACAGATTTTTAATTTTTAAATTAGTGGTCAGGTTGGTAAATTCCCCTACTAAAGGATCTTGTTGTTATTTGGTTCTTCAATTTTGGTCCTAACTTTCAAATTCAGATCTTTTCTGTGGTACTATCAAAGATTGTAGCTACTCCTTACTCAGGTATTCCCAAATAGGATTCAATCATTCTGGTTTTTTGGCTTTTTATACACTGAAGCTCTCATGTAAACATGATGTCATTGAGATTACAGGTTTTAGAACCCAACTAATCAACAGATAATTATTATAGTAATGCAGGCTTATTTTTCAAAATTGTCATTTGTGAGATTCAAACCTTGGACCTGCTGTTTGGTAGGGTAATGACTAGACCACTTTACTAAGCTGCTACACTCTCACTATTACTTTATTATTATCTAGAGTAACTAATATTGTTATTAGTATTGCTACTATCTTTGCTTTGACTGAAGATTGCTATCTCTCAAATCTTGCTTTACTCTTTTCTAAGATTTCTGTCTTACTACTGTTTATTTGTACTCAACTTGCTCTAATTTTGCTCTTTCTTTTCATTTTTAAAAGTAACCTGTCTGTGTAAAACATGTATTTATTGAGCTTTACTGTTTTGTTTTTACTAAACTGCTATATAAGCTTACTTTTAAGCTCTTGGTTTATTTTTTGTTGTTTGATAAGACTCTTTTTATAGGCAAATATATCTATTTTACTTACTAGCTTTAACTTGTTTGGGTCTAATCTGTATATATTTTCTGATTCTCTATAATCTTTTGCTTCTTAAAATACTTGTATTGTGTATCTATCTTTGATTTTCTTTACTTCTAGTAGAACCTCTATTACATTGTTATACTTGACTTATATTTTATATACTTCAACTCTTTTTATTTTATTTAACTCATATAATTTGCATAAGAAACCTTCTACTAATATATTTTTATTACTCAGAATATGTGCTTAATACTTTACTAGTAACTGGGCTTATTTTTTTTAGATTATTCTTTTTACTATTGATACTTTATTTTTCTTATTTACTAATACTCATTTTTATTTTCTCTTGTTGCTAGATAGGCTTTTTAAGCAAACCTTAAGAAATATATAGTTTGTATTTTGTATTTGATAATACCTAGCTATAAGCCACTTATATCTATTTTGAATTACTACTTTTTTAATTTTGGTATACTACCTAGCTTTTCTTTTTCTAGTTAACCCAGTATGCAATACCAAAAGCTTGCTTTATAGTAGTAGATAAACTCTACTTTTGTTAATTATTTGGTTTAGAAAAAATATGTACTTTTTAATTTGCTTATATTCTTTAACAAAAGCCTTTTATCTAACAACTTCAAAGATTGTTAGACTGCTATTATATATTTTTCACTTTGATATATTGGTTTAAATCATTATTCCAAGCTTTTTTGCCTTTACTAATATTAATATTGCTAGATTGTTTTTTTTATATTTTTTTAAATGTGTTGTTATTATTACTTAACTACTAGTCTTTAACCAAATCTGTTAACATGTAGCCTTGATTTATTCTTGCTTGAGTAATTTTGTTAATTTGATTATTGCTATTAAGCCTATTATATAAACTAGTTACTTGTCTATTTAGAACTTCATAGCTAAGCAACATAAATTTGCTAAGTTTTTTATATATAACTAGAAAGTTGCTTACTATTAATACCAAACTAATTTTGTACTTAATTGATTTGAAAGTTCTTGTCAAATGCTTGTTGTGATAGTTTGAAAGTTTGAAATATATATGCTATTTTGGATACAATATATATATTGTTTATATATATTAATTAGCTAATTGTTAGCTTTTTGCATTATAGTGTTTGTATAAAATGCTTAATAATATTTTTTTTTTCTTGACTAACAATTTTTTACTAGTGCTTCTGCTTAACTATATCTTTAGTAGTTGTATTGGAGAATTTTTCTTCTCTGGTATTATTTTTAACACTTCTATTTCTATATATCTTTGTTTATTTTTTGTTGTTTTTATATTAAAATTAGCAATTTTGACTTTGTACTATTAATACTTATCTTATGTCATTCACTTTATAAAATCTGTAAGCTATTTGCAAGATTTTCTCTATTTGCTTTTTATTTGCTACTTCTCAAGTTGTATCATTAGCTAAAGCAACTACTGCTTAACTTATTATTTTTTTTCTTTACTTGTTTGTTTTTAAATTTATTAATTCTTCTATATTAATTTTGTAACTAAAACTGTTATCTTCTTGTATTTTTTTTAAAAGAGAATTGTAAAAAATTCTTTAAACTAGTAGAAATAATATTTTACTCTGCTCTATACTATCACCTGCCTCAAATAACTCTGTGATACTATATTTAGTAATTACTTTGATTTGTCTTTTGCTAAATAGATCAATAATAAATTTGATTGTTTACTTTGGCAACTTAATTTTGTTTAGCACAAGCTCTAATAACTTAATTAACACTAAATCATATACTTTTTTTATTTATTTATATTTTTTTTGGTTTTAAAAGGTGAGGCCTTGCTCATATCTTTATTAAGTAATTTATATAAGTAAACATATAGAAACTAAAT